AGGGGAGGGACGGGGCTCTGGGCCAGCAATGGCAGCAACTGGGCTCACAATCAGCAGCTCCAGTGACACATTCCTAACGCGGGAGCAAGAGAAAATAAATAAATAAACGCTTTAGCCAGCAGGGAGGGAGGTCACATGCAGTGACAGAGCAGGGGCCCCCCTCCCACCACGGCTCCTCACCCAGCAATGCCCAGGCTGGGGGCCTGACCAGACACCAATAAATCCTTGGATGGTGCAGTCAGTCCCTGATTTCTCGCTCTGTCAAGCCCCCCCACACTTTTGGCTCAGGTTGTTAAGGCAGATCTGTAAGGCATTGGCAGCGGGATCCTGCTGGCAGCACACTGGGATCCTGCTGGCAGCACACTGGGATCCCGCTGGCAGCACACTGGGATCTCACTGGGATCCCGCTGGCAGCACACTGGGATCCCACTGGGGTCCTGCTGGCAGCACACTGGGATCTCACTGGCAGCACACTGGGATCTCACTGGCCCTGGGGCTGGCGTCCAGCCGGGCTCTGGTCAGAGCATTCCCGGTGGCCGGCCCGGAGCAGCAGCAGCACCAGCACAGCCTGTGCCTGCCACAGCAACACAGTGGTAGGGAAGACATTCCTGCCAGCAAGGGAAAATCCCAGCACAGAGAAGGGCTGGGACACTTCCCTGACAGCAAGACCTGACAGAGGGGAGCCGCCACCCCCAGCCAGCCCTGGTGGCTCTGCCTCCCACACCTGGGCTCCTTCACACTCAAATTCCTACTCACAGCACAAGGAAAGGGGTGAAAAACAGGCCTCATCCACAGCTACAGCAGGACCAGCCAGGCAGTCCTGGTGAGGAGCACAACAGCATCCCATGGCCAGTTGCCAGCAAACCCCAGCCCAGAACAGCCCTGTCCCTGTGCTGCTGGCACAGGATGGACACGAGCAGGGCCTTCCTTTGCTGTTCAGCAGCCCTGGGTGAGGAGTGAGCTGGTGTGGGAAAAGCCAAACACAACCTTTGCTAAGACTGTGCCCACCCAGTGCTGGGCTGGGGCTGGTATTTTAATAGTTCACATTTGGATTATGAAGTTCTGTATAACTGGGACAGAAAGAAGCCATGACTGACTCTATCCACAGAGTATTTTCCTTCTAATAACTGATGTTTGACTCAGGAAGGAAATAACCTAAAGACAGTGATATAAACCATTTTAATCTATCCAAAATGGTAACAAGGAATGGAAACCAGGCCATAAGTATGAACTTTTTCCTCTCCTCATCCCAACAGCTTTTAGAATCAAGATAATAACCGTTCAGAGAGAAACAAATGCCAAGTCTTGGAGGAGCCTCACCTGCAAGTACTCAGAGCTCACCCCCACACCAGTTCCAAGAGCTGTGCAGCAGCCAAGTCCCAGCCCAGGGCAGCCACTTATCTAATTAAGCTAATTAAGTGCCTAAATGCCGACAGGCGGAGACAACAAGAGCAGAGGTCACCTGGTTCACCTGGCCAAGGCCACTCCCCCCGCTGGGGACACTCACAGTCACAGAAAGCAAAGGGGCCACACAAGCACCGACCAGGCAAGGACACCTCCCCTGCACATGGGGAGCCCCCTCATTCCCACCCAACCCCCAACAGTTCCCACTCTTTTTTTTCTTTAAATGCAAAAAACTTCCTCAGGATGCAAACCAGTCCAAGGAGACACAGGCCACACACAAAAACCAGACACGAGAAGCCTTGCATTGCATGTCTACAGGAACCTACCAGGCGTGCAGGACAACCACACCGACACCGACACAGACACCTCACCTAAACCACCCAAAGGCATTTTTTTGTTTCTTTTGTTCTTTTGTTACAGAAGGCCACTTTGAAGTAAAACAAAGAAAAGGAGACAGGGAGCCCAAGAGCAGCAGCAGCCCAGGCTGGCCCCGTTTGTGAGATGAGAAATGCTCCTCCCCAGAGAGCAGAAGCCTCTGCAAGGGCCTCCCCTCTGTCCAGCTCTGCCCAAGAAACCCAAACCTGGCCACGCCCCTGGCCAGGAGCCCAGTGGTGACACCAGAGCCCTTCTGGCCTTCAACACCCAGCACTCAGCCCCAGCACGGACAGACACACGGACACTCACACACACACGTGCAGAACAAGGTCCCACAGCAGCAGTTTGGCTCCAGCCCTGATGGCCCAATGTGAGAAGAGGGTCACCAGCTGCCCCCTCTCCCCTGTGCCCCCGGGGACACACAACCTGCTGCTTCTCAGACCCCACTCAAGTGACTGCAGAGAACGTGGGAAATGGGGTCATTTCCCTTCCTAAGCTAAACTACACAGTTCTGGCTAATTGGTGACGACAGGAATACATTCCTGTATCTAAAGTGTCAGCATTAAGAGCTCTTTTCAAGAGCATTTTCAAGCAGCAGTTTGGGTTCATTCCCCTCTGCCTGCAGTCCCTTGGGAGGTGAGAGGGGCAGTGGCTCTGGCAGCCGTGGGGTTCCCCAGCTGGGGCAGCACGAGATGTCCCTCTGTCACCTCAGTCACCTGAGGGTTCTGCTTGCACAGCTCTGCTCAGCCTCCACCACCCCAGCTGAGCTCCAAGCACAGCCCAATCCTGAGCACATTTGGGCTGTTGGCAGCAGGACACAAAGCGTGGGCTGCAGGGGCACCTGCCCTGCTCTCCCCTGACCAACAGGCTCCAAGCCAGGCACGACAGAACAGAAAATCCTCTCAAACTACCACGTGGAAAACCCACTTTCTATTGTTCCTATAGTATGGTTACAAAAAACTAACATCATTCAACAACAGAAAAGATTTCTTCTAAACTTCGTATTTATTGATTTTTTGGGGGGACAAATTGGATCTTCTGAATCCCCAAGTGTACATACATATTCATATATAGCTTTCTCCATAGGGAAAACATGTATCAAAGGAGGAGAGACATTCTTTAAGTGCCCCTTGTCATACAGTACTGAACAGGACTTCTAAGAGCATCAGTGTAAATCTCAAGTTTCTGAGCAGGAATGACAGAGGTGGGGAAAGAAGGAAGGGTTGTGGCTGCTCTTTTTCACAGAGAAGAGAAGGAAGTTTGCTGACTTTAAAAAAAAAAAGAAAAAAACCCCAAAGAAATGTTTCTGGTAGCCCCAAAAAAGGCAGATGAGAATGGGAGGACCCAAGACATCCAAAGCAGCTCATGGGCTGACCAAGGGGGATCAGACACACAGCATGGCACAGCTCCAAGGGGAGAGAAACACTGGCCAAGATGCAGGACTGGGCTGGGCAGGGCAGGGCAGGGCCACTCCTCCCTCTAAACCACAAGGGAGTAGGAGATGGGGTCACAGCACCCCCTGCCCCTGCAGCACAGGCCATTCCATAACCCACACAGAGCTCATCTCCCTGGGGCTCTCAGCCAACTCCTGCACTCAGCCCTGTTCCCAATCCCGCTCCTTCTCCTTCAGTAACGAGATTTTGTTATTTTGTGATGTTAGAACAGTAAAAGGCATGTCCTCACTCCCAACACCGCTGCAGAAGGCAAAGCCACACAGTCCCCCCTGAGAAGGGAGATGACCCTGCTGCAAACCCTCAGTCTGGAGTTTCTGATGAGGAGCAACTGCCCCGATACCCAACGCTCACCTTCCAAACACTGGCACACAACAGCTCTGGGGGAAAGCACCTGCACAGACAAGGGATGACCAAACCCTGGTGACTCCGGGAACCTCCCAGTGTTAACAGTGCACTGGAATGAGAACAAATCATCTGCTTAGATGTGGTTTCAGGATAAGAAATCCTTTAAGGTTTGTCCATCCTGCAGGAGCTGTGCTGGCAGCACAGCCAAGAGCTTCCTGGACTCGAGGATGCAAGAAAAAAAACAAAACAAGAGGTAACTGTGGAGCAACTGGGGCTTCACAAACAGAGGTCACACAATTCCCAGCCATACCTGCTCAGAAGGCACAATGACCCCTGACCTCTGCAGGCATTTCTCCTGCCTCCAGACCAGTTTCAACCAGGGATGGTATGGAACGGGCAAGTGTTCTCAATTTAACCCCTTACACTTTTCACATCAGTCCTCAACAAGGCAAAAGTGCTGCTGGAGTCAACAAGTCTTTGGGCAGACTATGGATCCTGTGTTCCTGGAGAGGACCTCACCCACACACTGCAGGCTGTGAGAGCTCAGCCCTCCTCACCTCCTCCTCTCCCAAAGCTCCTGGGCAGATGCTGGGACCACCCTCCCATCCTGTCCCAAGGAGAACAGTCCCTGGCTACAGCAGGAATTCTGCCTGCAGAAAGGACTGTGGAACACTTTAAAAAGAGAGGAAGACAGAATGGAGATCACTCACAGCAGTAACTACACACACGGTGCAAGGACCAGAACATTCAGCCAGCAACAAAACACATCCTAAGCAGCCTCCCAGGCAGGCTGGCAGCACCAGCAGAGCATTCCTCCTCTCCTGGCTCCGCAGCATTTGCCACTGACCTCGGAGAGGTCCTGCCCCATCACCAGGAAGGGGCAACAGGAGGGTCCCGAAGGATGAGGGTTCTTTGGTGCACATCTCACTGTCAGGCACGAGGTCTCACACTGATCTCCTGCAGCAAACCCTTATCCTGCACAAGGAGAGACTGTTTACCCCCCAAAAAGGAACAAAACTGCCAAAGCTGCCTGCGCTCTGGAAGGGAACCACATCCCCATTTATCCCTTTCTGAACCCACTGACCCCAACAGCAAAGCGTGGCCAGGCCAGAACAAACAAACAACATTAACCCACGCAGCAAATCTACTACATTTCTCTTGGTCTTCTTGACCCAGGTTCCACAGAAACACCCAGCAAGCTGCCAGCACAAAGCATCTGCCTCTGCCCAACAACGAACCCGAGAAACCTGGGGGACTTGGGCTGGCAAGAGAGACCCTGAGCAGGGCTGTGCACAGAGATCTGCAAAATCAATTACTGCGTCAGCAAACCAAGCCAGACAAAAACCAAAACCCCCCCAAACATCCAAACAAAGCATCGTCAACCATTAAAATAATAAAAACAGGGTTTTTTTGACACAGCTATAAAAATCAAGTCATTTATAAAACGGCAACAAATGAAGTCCGGTTGTGTATTCTTTTTCCTTTTATTAGACAGGACAGAGAATTTCCTTAAAATGCCATAACAAGTCACAGTGATTTTAGATGGTTTTTGAAATGTAATATATTGATGGGAAATACCTTTAAAATGGTTTGACTTGTGGTTTGTTGTTGGGGTTTTTTGTCACTATAGAGGTACCCTGGTCCACCAAACCATCTATCTTAAAGTTTCTTGTTTAGAGAGGACACTCTATCTTCTTCCTCCAAAAATGAATTTTGTCTCATAATCCTGCAAAATAATCAACCTTACAAAAGGCCTTCAAATGTTATATTTATATATATATGTATGTACATATATATACACACACATACACACATATATATAAATATAGACTTCTATGATTTTTTTTTCCCATTCTACGCAACGTCTCGATAAAGAGATCAGCAAATTTTTTATTCTACAAAGAAGCAACACATAAGAGGGCAAAATTAAAGTCTTAAGAACATCATATCCATAGTTCACTCATTACACATAAAAGGAAAAAAAATCACCATGAACAACTGTCTCTGAAGTTTCTCAGATGAGCGAATCCGAGCGCGGAGCAGCCCCGTCCCCGGTGGTGGGCTGGGCACTGGGCACAGGCTGGGCACTGGGCACTGGGCACTGGGCACAGGCTGGGCCCTGGGCAGCTGAGCACAGCCCAGCCCAGCTCGGCTTCCCTCCCGCCGAGCCGGACGCGGTTGGAATGTATGGAGTTTCCTTAGGAAAGGTTCCCAACGAAGGCCTTGCCGTGGGCCGTCCCCTCTAGGCCAGCTTCAGCGTGCTCACGGGGAACGAGGGCATGGTCACCATAGTCACGGGGTTCAGGACCGTCTGCCCCACCAGCTGTGGGTGATGCACCACCTGGGTCCCCACGGCCGGCTTGGCCACCACGGGCTGGGCCAGGCCCGCGGTGCCGTTCACCTGCTGGTGCGAGATGGTGTGGGCGATGTGGCTCACCACGGGCTGGCTGACGGCCACGGGCTGGGGGTAGAGGGGCAGCTGCGGGCCCAGGTGGGCCATGTGGTTGATGGTGGCGGGGTGCACAGTGATGTGGCCGATGGGCTGAGCGGCGGTGGTGAGTTGCACGGGGCTGGACGTGGAAGGTGCGATGTGAGCGATGTGCTTGGTCTGTGGGCCCTGAATGACGTGGTTGACAGTCTGGATGACCGAGGCGTGGGTGGTGGCCGTGTGGGCGATAACAGTCGATTGCACGGTGGAGGCCGCCACGATGTGAGTCTGTGCGGGGACGATGGCCTGCGGCGGGACCAGGGCCTGCGTCTGCAGGGGGGGCTGGGCCTGGGGCTTCTGCTGGATGGACAGGTGAGGGGGCAGGACCGCGGGCAGGGGGGCAGCAGCACTCGGGGGCACAGCCTTCAGCAGCTCTGGGTGCTGGCGCTGGGTAAGTTTTGGTAACGAGTTCACTGGCCTGTCATCTTCCATGTCTTCATCGATGTTGTCTTCACCCTCTGGAAAACACGAGAGGAAGAAACTCCCATAAAAAAGCAAGCAGAGCACGAGCTGGACCAACAAGCCTCCCTAAAGGGCAGCACAGTGGCATGGCATGGCACAGCCCTCTGCTCACTGCTGTGGGCCAAGGACCTGGAGCCAAGCAGGCAGGACAGCCCCAAGCTCCAGCCAGAGCGGGGTGATCCCAACAGGCCAAGAGGTCTCGCTGGGCAGGCACGGGGACCACTGTGAGTAGAGGCTGACAGAAAGCACCTGGCTGACCTCTGTCTGGGCTGAAGTGGCTCCTTCTGGGAAGAGGAACAGGGTTTCCTTTCTTGGCCAGTTGTTCCACTGACTGGCACCACCCTTTCTGCTCCCAGAGCGAGAAGGAAACAGCAATGGAGAAGTGTGGTAGCAAGCCCCTCATGTAGTTCTGGGAAATGGACTTTTGTCTGGTGAAGGAACTAATGAAGCAAAGCAGGAAGAAACTCCCTGCCCTGCCTGCTCTAGACCCAGCCATGCAGCAGAGAATAAAAATCCCAGAAGACACAGAAGCAGCAGAAACCAGGGAAGATACTTCCCCTTCACAAGCCCTGGTTTGCAGCAACTTGACACGGTGGCTTTCGGCACAGGCCACTGCAGAGGAACAGCCAACACTCCTAACAACAAAGCCCTGCTACTCCTGACTTCCACCAGCCTACACCTGTCTGTGTGTTCAGAGGTGCTAATCCTGAAAACAAGCCTGAACAAACCAGAAACCTCAGATTTTCCCTTCCTGGAACCCCTGCTATCACGTGCCTGCAGTGCCAAGAGCAAATGCTGGTTTGAAGGAGCTGCTGCGAACGGTTCCGCGCCGCTGCAGCCTCCACATCTCTGCAAAGCTCCACACCCACAGACTGCCCACTCCTCCTGCTGCAGAGCCCTGGTGTGGAGGAAAGCATGCACCCTCCTATCTCACAGGAACTTCTCACTGGGAACTGCATGGCAGATACCCATTAGTGTCATTTCATCTTCACTAGGAATCCTCCTCATGCAACATGAAGGCTCCTTAAGTTGTTTAAGTGCTCTGGTACCAAATCCTTCTTCTCTATGTGCTGAACACCCTCCCATATCCACACAAATACATCAGGATGTCCACCTCTAAAGAGCAGGGCTGCAAAGCTGTGTAAGAGGAAATCTAAGTTTGGAGAACAGGGATTTATCTCCACGTGAGGAAGTGGCGGGTTGGAAGTGCAAACCTGCACTTTGTATCTACCTGGCATTGATGCACAAATTTCAGTTTACTTCACACGAGCAGCAATGTGTTATTAACCAATATCAATCCTTAGCAACACTCAAGAGCCTTTTACTTTATTCTGAATGCAAAGACACCCTGATGCTGCCAAATGAAGATCCCCACCACCCCTACGGAACTGTGTCACTGACCTGTGGTGATTACAAGGAGAGAAAAACTGTGGGTACCTGATGCTGTCGAGGTAGATGCCTGGTCATCCTCTGGCTGAACTGTCTGTCGAACAATCCTGTCAATCTCCAAGATGTCCATCCACTGGCTCAACTCGTTCTTCAGCTCTGCCAGTCGCTGCTGGGTCGCGATCTTCTCTCTCGCCAGCCGCTCCATCTCGTGCTCATATTCTTTTTCCTTCCTCTTTAAAGTCTAAAAACAGCAGGAAGAAAAAGAAATATAACATGAGCAAAGACAAGAATAGTCTACACTAACCTGGTCACTCCCATGACCACAGCTAATTTTCTTATATTGCCAGTTATGCTGGTGTAAAACGTGTTCAGCTACATTTACACCTGCCTGAGTCAGGCAGAAAGAGAAGGACAAGAGCTGGCACCTCAAGGGTTGCTCTGGCCAAATGCCTTCTGCCTGCTGAGGGAAGACTGATGAGCCTCAAAAAAGGAAAAGCACAAGTACTGATGAGCTTCTGAGCAACACACATCACACCAAGAGCTCCTGCCCAGGGCTGCATTTACTATGTGTATAAAACAGACAAAATAAGTGAAATCTGTAAAACCACATACAGGCTGTCCATTTTCAGAAGTTTCACCACTGGGAATTTAAATCCCACACACACTCCTGAAAATACCAGGCACACAGAGCCTGCACAGATGCTCCTGTTCCCTCACTGCTGGCAAGCACTGAGCTCAGAAGCAAACCCCACAGCTGGCAGAGGACCAGGCTCACCGTCTTCTGAACACGTGCTCTTTATTTCTCTCTGAGGTTCTCCAGGACAAGTGCAATCAGAACGTGCCCTCATGCCTTTCAGTGGTTCTGCTGACGCTGTAGAGCAGAAGGTTGCTGGGAAGGACTTTAAAGCCTGTTCAGCCAGGCCTTTAATGCAGCCTGAGCTGACACACAGACCAGGGCAGCTCCTGCCGCTACCTTTGTCCTGGTAATAACAATAAAGGAAGTATTTTTAAAACAGCCAAGCAAAGTGTGTTAGCAGGGCACAACCCCTGCAGGTGTGTCAGTGGAGACAGTTCCTCTGCCCTCAGCTCAGCTAAAAGCCCCTCAGAACAGAGGGTTTTCAGGCACAGGGGGCAGTTCTCTCCCTCACACTGCTTTCCAAACCAAAGCAAGCAGCAGACACCAACTCACACAGTCCTGTCCTGGGCAAGCCCAGCAGACCTGCAGCCCACCACAGGGAGGGGTCACAGGGATGGTGGGGAAGGGGGGACGGGGACTCCCAATGTCCTGGCTCTGCACCAACCCTGACTTGTAGCCCAGAGATTCCCACATGGCTGAGGCCCAAATCCACAGACTAGTTTTAAAGTCTCTTTTCCAACCAAGTGCAGCCTGACCCAGAAAACAGTGGTGTGCTCTGATCCCCTGGGAAAGGGGTGTGGGTGGGACACGGAGCAATGAGGGAAGTGCAGGCTCCTGCTCAGGGTTAAATATGCAAGAAGACAACTCGTCTCGATGTCTTCCCCCTCACTATGTGATCAGGAAGGAAAGAGGCAAGTAGGAGAAAGGCTGAGGCTAAACCTGGGGTGCAGACAGGAGCCCAACCCCACCCTGCAGCATCTCCCCAGAGCTGCAGGGCACGGGAGGACAGAACAGGAACAGCTCTCCAGGAGGAGGGAGCACAAAACCCCTGCAGCCTTGGCTCCTGCAGCAGGCACAGCACATATCCAACAGATCAGATCTGGCTTCACTCCCTGCTGCCAGAGGAGACTCCCAGCACGGGGGAAAGCACAACTATGAGATACGAGCAGGGCAGCTGGTAATTAGTTATAAACTTTTAATTACTGGGAAGGCAGGCAAACCCTTAGGAAGCACCAGGAGGAGTCTCCCAGAGAACAGAGCCAGGGAGCTCACTCTGCTGCTCTCCAGGCACTCCACAGGCGTTGGGATGTGGCTCTGGTCCAAGCCTGGCCCCAGGGGCTCTGCCTCCCTCAGCCCCTGCCCAGGCACAGCTCCTCCCAGGGCTCCTCCCAGGGCTCCTCCCAGGGCTCCCTCCCGGCTGGGAGCTCTCCAAGGGGAGCTGCCAGGGAGGCTGGAGGAGCAGATGGGCTGGAATCCCTGCTGGCACCAGTAATCTTTCAAAAACTATTCTGGGATGCAATTCACTGGGGCTCACTTGGTAAAGACGGATCTCCAGGCTGAGCTGCTCTGGCCTAATAATGAACTGGGTGTGATTAACCAGAGCCTTCCTGCCCTGCTCTCTGTGGGTACACGTGGGTGCAGCCCCTTCCCAGCTCCACAGGGACTAGGTGTGTGCCCTGCACTGGGAGCTGAGTCCTGGAGCAGGAATGGGCCTGGCCTTGCTGCAGAAATGGGCACTCACTGAGGGACAGGGAGCAGAGACCCTCCTGCCTTTGTATCTCTTCCCACTGCACCAGTATGGGAGAGGGCAGCTGAGCATCTCCCATGTCCCTCTGACCAGCAGCCCTGGGAACAGACGGATCTCTGGCACCTCCCTGACGACAGATTATTTTCTGCAAATCATCCTGCCCACAGCAGGTGCCAGGATTTCCCATCAGTGAGTAAAGTCCACAGCGACAGCCAAACTTTGGTCATTGGGACTGTGGTCACCGACCTGCCCTGGCACAACAAACACCTTTAGAGACACCCACTGACCCCCAGGATGTTTTTTGTAAAACAGGAATCTCTGTCAGCACCATCACCACGGATCCTATGCAACACAAACACAGCAGCTTTGAAATAAGAAGTAATCACACATCGTTTTCCAAGATACAAGCCTTTGGGATTTTCCAACAGAAAGGGCACATAACATTAGTGCTGAAATGGGCAGAGGGGTCCCTGAAGCTACAAACAACACAAGCATTGAGAGTTACATTTTGATAAAAGGAATTCTTACAAATGCCCAACCACCTGTCCTACAAGGTGTGAAATTTCACTAAGGCAGAGAGACCTGGAGCAGCTGCAGGGCAGGAGCTGCTGTCCCACCCCCTCCACAGCCTCCAGGAAGGGCCAGGGGAGGGGTCAGGTCTGGGGCTGGCACCTGGGATGACACTTAAGCTGCCTGCTAAGATCCTGAAGGACACACGCTTAACCTGGCTCATGAAATACTGACCCTGCTTCTTCACGGTGCAAAGGTCACCCAAGTCACCTGCATTGGTGTTTCCCCCCTTCTCTGGAGTGGCGAGGCCGGGCTGGCCCCGGGAGCCCAGGGAAGGCCAGGAGTGCCCTGGCAGCTCTGCTGTGTTGGCACAGGGCAGTGGGTGACACCTGACTGAGCACAGCTCACCTGCCCCACGGAGCAGAGGAGCCCAGCCCAGCCCAGCCCAGCCCAGGCTGCTCTCTGCAAGCACCAGGCTCCAGCACAGACCCTCCTCCTCACGCCTGTGCTGCAATCATTGGGATATTTCTCTCTTTCCTGTTAAGCAATTGGGAACCCCGGTTGTCCAGGCAACTCTTACTCTGCAGAGTGAGGAACCTACAGAAGCTACAACTTCAGAACTCTTATTTTTCACCTCTGTGCACCTATAAACATTCCACATGAGCATCACCTCAAAAAGTCAGTAAACCCTGACCCCGTTGAGGGGGAGGCTGAGCTACCCCAGGAAGAAATCAAGGATTTCCTCATATTCCTGTGAATCCATCCATGGCTTTTGATGCTTGGGAAGTTCTGCAATTGAGCTGCTGGCTCTGGTGAAGAGAGTTGATGTTTTACTCTGAACATTTCCAGTTCTTCTTCTGAGTTGAAGCTGAGAGCGAGTCCTTTGCAGCAGAGCAAGGGCCTGACCCTCCCCTGCCAGGTACCACCATGCTGGGCAGAGCAGGGGCTGCTCCATGTGCAGGTGGAAGTGGAGACAAGGACAGTGGTGGTGAGTCCCTTCATCTTTTATTTAAACACCAGCAACCAAATTAAAATCCTCAATTCCAGCAGCACCACCACCCTCTTCTGTGCCCACTCGCCCAGCTCTTTCAGAGCCACTATTTGGTCCTTGTGTGCATCTCTCTGGCACTCCCTGGTAAACAAACCAGAACCAACTTCTGCTATTGCTGTGCAGCAACAGTCATTTGTCACTGCAAAGAATTCTCCATTTTATAGCTGTCTGTAATTAAATGGCTCACTCTTATGTCAAGATTGGAAATAATGCCTCTAAACGCCTTCCCTGTGCCTGCCCCAGGAATGCTGCTGGCCCTGGGGTTGGCATTAGTGAAATTTAAAAGGCCTTATTACAAAGCTCCCCTCATAAACATTATATTAGCAATTTAAGAACACACTTTCAATTACCAGCTTTTCCAAAGCACATTTCAGTTGTTACCTTTTCTTACACAGCATTCACTGACTGAAAACCCCTCATCAATGAGCAATCAGGAGAGGGATTTGCAATTTCAAGCCAGATTGTTTTAACTCTTTGCTCTGGGGATCACAGCTGGTGCCACAGAGCGGAGCTGCTGGACCAGGGGGGTCCTGAGCTGCCATCCCAGGACCTCCAGCACAGCCCACACCCAGCTGGGCAGGCTCTCCACTGCACAGGGAGCTTTGATTCCCATATGCAATGGGAAAAAATCTAAACACTAAGAAAAAGATCTTATCCTTGCAGGGACTGTCACGGTGCAGCAGATCCACAGCAGGAGCATCCACCAGCCTGACTCCACAAACATTTCAACCAGGACCAGAGGGATGCTGGAACCCCACACGGAACCCCAACAGCCCCAGCTGCCAAGACACCACAGTCACCTGCAGGACTCTGGGGTTTGCCACCAGTTTTACCAGTTTTGAATCGTACTGAACTGGCTGTGGAGTTCCTACAACAACCACTCGCCCCAACCCCATCCGACCTGCTGCGATGGAGCAGAGCCCAGGGAAGTGGGAAAACCAGGAGCCAGTTTCCCTGGCACCAGGCTGGTGTCCCCACCCTCTGCAGCCACTGCCTGCACTCGCCAAGGTGACACATCTGCCAG